GATCTAAGTATACTTATATTTACAAGTTTATCACACTATTAGAAAGAGACATTTCTATTTCAGTTAACCAATTGTTCGAGGTTCAATAATTTTTTTTCTCAACTCCAAGTTCAAAAAATCTTTACTTATGATATCTCAGTACTTCTAAAATAAATAAATGACATCATGGTTAGTTCACTTGAAGGCTCGAAGACTCGCTCGTTCGTTTGATTCTTCACAACTCGTGAATAAAAACCGTACGCGCTCACTAACCATGCAGTAATCTCTATTTATTCGATGACCATAGCTACGCAAGCTATTCATCTTATGCCGCATCCCTTCCTTAGTGCCTAATACATCTAAGTAGGACTTATGTACGAGGTCCTTCTTAACCACATTATTTTTCACTCCCTTAGCTTTCTTTTGTTCTACCTCACCTTTGTCATTTACTTCATGGTGAACGCTGTACATCTTGTGTCTCAGACCTACGTATTCAAATATGGCAAGCCCATGCATTTCATCTTTCATTTTGCCTATGACTTTCTTATTCTTAGAACTACGAAGGAAGTGGCCCTCGGGGTATTCGCTGGTGTCATATTCGTCAATGCCTTCCAAGGTATCTTTGTAAATATCTTCCGTTTGTATTTCCATGATCAAAGAGTCAGTGTCTGTGTAAAGCAATCTACATCGATCTCCGTATTTTACTTTGAGGTTGTCGTAGTAGAAACCATACATTAAGAGCTTGGATAAGTCCAAGACGCAAAACCCAGTGTAGACTGGCTTATTGAAGAATAAATTAGGTTTCTTCATGTGGATTACCCAGAAGTTTAACATTTGCACATAGCGCACATAGCCTGGCTTAGAAACGTAAGACTGTGCCTCTTCTTCAGTATTAGCTATCTTTATGCTCACGCGCTTGCGGATATTTTCCATCGTCTTTCCAAAGACACTGTTATTCATTAGCTTGAAGAGATCCTTTTCAAAGGCGTTYTTTGCCTCCATCCTTTTCTTAGTGTTAAAGTCGATGTAGGGTTTCATCCAAGGCTCTTGCGTAAATTCCAAGACCCGATGTATCTTCTTTAGTACTAAGCCATGCCTGAGGTAAAGCTACAAGTTTCGGTAATGAACTACATATTTGCGCTTGGGAAGAAAGCTCATTAATAGCTTTCTGTAGGATTTGTAATTTGGGCATAGGTCTTTTTGGTAGGGGCTTAGCATTTCGAAGGGTATCTCCTCATTGTTAGGCGCTAAGGGAAAGTCATTATGTAGATCGTGTAGCTCTGGTGGGTAATCTAAGTCCACTTCTAAGATGTAACCCTTTGGATTGTCTTCAGGTACGTCAAAATCCTCCCACCTAAGCTTCGTCCATTTGTTAGTCTTATCGTATTTCCACTTTCCTTCGTTCCATTTGAAGTCTCGCACTGGAAGATATTGCGACATTGCCCATCCGTAAAGGTTATTCGCATCCAAATAGTAAATATGGGTAGTTGGCTTCTCTGCGTCGCATTCCACCTTAGGATTATTAGCCTTTGCATGCCTCTTACTAGGACCGCAGACTCCACCGCGAATGCCTTTCTCTATGAACAAATGCATGTCATACTCCGTTAGTAAATTTTTAATGAGGCTTGGTCATCTTCAGCAGCGCGGACCAAGACAATCCAGGTGCAGTGTAAAAGTTAGCAGGGTCTAATCCATAGTAGGACATACACATTTTCCTAAACCATTGGAATACATCCGCTAAAAGCACTACGTCTGAGAGGAGGTAGATATCGTGGTAATCTCCCATGTTTTTGCAACCTCTCTTAGTCCATACGTCTTTTGCGTGTTGGTAGTCTTTGTCAGAAATACCACTTCGATCTAGGGTGGAATAGAAACATTCCTGTGGCGGAAGCTCCTCTTCAAATTTATCCTAAGAATCCATCCATTCGTATGGGTACACTCCCTTACGCTCTGATCCATATTTGTCTGAAATGGGCAGCTCTGTGGCATTCTTCACCAGGCTAGCAAGACCAGAATTCATAAACTGCTGAGGCTCTAGGAACTTTAAACCACCAATGGTAACTGACATATACTTCTCTTTGTTGTTTGGTATGCAGGATACCTGCTCTTCCTCAACTCCCTGTAGTAGCAAATGACTATTATATCCACGTAAGTTGTGAAAGAATACTGGAATGTTCATGTCAGGGTTTATGCGAAAGCTAGTATTACAACTCCAGTGTGCAACTCCCCTGAAGTTACCAGTAATATGGCAGTGGTCTCTAACTTTGTCCATGTAAAACTCTTCCACTATGGGCTTTTGGCAGCAAATGCAATGAGTACTAGGCTGGGTGCCTTTGGGAACGCGACCTTTCTTCTCATATCTACCACAACCCCATTGAGCTTCTCCGAGGTAAACACCCTCTTTGTTCCAGGCTTTCTTTGCTTTCCTACCATATCTTAGTAGGTTAGTATCGCATATGTGGCATGTCTTAGCTCGCTTGTATGCCTGCTCATCCCTAGGGGTAAATATCATGTGAATTTTCTTCCTTAGTTCAGCCCTTATCTTCGTTTCCTCCTCCCTTAGAGCAACTAAGAACTTACTAGCTACATCAGGACCTCTATAAATCTGCGGTTCTCCTGTGTGACCATCCTGGCGTACTACAATGTACCCATATCCACATAGCTCATGGGATGCTGTCCTCTCTGTATTGCCTCTCTTTTCTGCCTTAGGAACTATCAAAGATTCGAAGTCAGCGTAAATTACATAGGGTACTGGAAGCTGCTTTATCTGATCTTGGTAAAAGAACTCCTTCTTAGCAGGCATTTCTACGCGCGTAGCAACTTCAGCAACTCCAAGGCATATCTCAGAATGTTCCTAAAAGCTTCGCAGACGTAAATGGTAATAGACAACTGAAGCACATGTGCTTCTTACCACCATGCTTCGTCAAACGATAAAACAAGCGACTAGGATGCTTAACCCAGGAATAATGTCCTCCAAATGTATGGTAGGCTTCTTACTAAATCTCATCGGAACTATCACTTCTCCTTCTCTGCAGGAATAAACGTTTATCCTATGGTCATTCTGAACTTCGAACTTATTAATCTGCTCTAAAGTCACTGGAAATTCAATGCCATCCCAATTCAAATTGTCCGTTGGATACTTACTAACCCTGTTAGGATCTACCTTTGCTGGATATAACGCAAACCTTATTGCCCACATAAAACATTTATCGTCGTTGTTCTTCACGTTAACGATCGCCTTCTTTCTCTCTATCCAAGTAGGTAGTGGTACATAGCTCGCACCTTGCATCAAGATATACCTAGCGGTGTTAATTTCCATCCCTTGTACTTCCTGCACTGACCATCCCGATCCTTCCCTAGTATAGTTGGCTAGAGACTCTAGAATTCTCTCCTTACCTTCTTCAAGTAATGTATCAATATCGCTGGATTGTACAATAACCAAAGACTGTGGCCTTAGGGTAACATAGTTCTCTAATCCATTTTTCTCTAGGATTACATCAATCAATCGAATTGCTTGATTTAATAGCACCTAGCTCTTCTAGCTTACCCTCTAATACAGACTTCATCCTCTGCAATGACCTATCCCAAGATGCGCTCACGTCTATAGAACCATTCCCAGGTATGTTAACAGTACTAAAGTTGCGTTGCAATTCCATATATAATAGAATTATATCTTATACACAAATGGATGCGTTGGCTCAACCATGCGTAACCTAAGTACCAACTATAGCTTATTGTAGTATGGGATTGGTTGAACCCAACGATGTGGCGTTTATCAAACA